GAGGAGGAGGAGGAGGAGGAGGAGGAGAATCCACATGGGATCCATAAGGACTTAGTACCCTGGAAACATGTGCATGATTTCATGGCCCCCTGCGCTGACACCTGCTGACTCTGGTTCTCCCAGACCTCCACATTGCAGGTGGCTGACTGCACAGGGTCTCCAGAGCTCCCTGCAGTCTTCAGGGTCAGGTCTGAGGACCTTAGAGACTACCACTGAGGATCCAGTCTTCACTCAAGACTCCAAGTGAATCAGGCTTCCATCACAGTCACCATCATCACCCCATCCTCCCGCTCCATTGGGAGATGAGGCTGGACCAGAGACCAGGTCACCTTAATCATTATGAAAGCGATGACTTCAGGTCTAGTGTGCACCAGGCCCCACCACTGCAGACAGCTACATCTCTGCCTTGCATGGCCCACATTGGCTGCAGGAAAGAGTGGGTGTTCATTGAGTGACTGTCTGATGAACCCCACGGTTGTTGCTGGTGGTGTCACGGGGCAGAGATTCAAGATATAGGGACTGGATCTTGAGTCTCCTGTCACTGCATTGTTTGCCAAAGTTCTAGGTAAGGGATTGAGCCCTGCCACATGCAAGCAGAAGTAGTCATGGATTTAGTGGGATTGGGACATCTCTAATCACAGTTATCTAGAGGATGAGCCTAATCCCCTCCATAGGGAGGAAACCAATACAGCCCCAGAATGGAGCCCCCCACTACCCAGGACTAGAGGCCTCGGTGGTGGGGAAGGATCTGTGGGAGGAGAGCTGTACCTACCCTACATTACTTTATGTGGCAAAACCCGGGACCAGCCTCAAGAGCCTCTCCCTGCCCCTTTGGTACCAGGGATTGAATTCAGGGGCACTTAACCCCCCAGCCCTTTTTATTTTGAGACAGGACCTGGCTAAGCTGCTGAGGGTGCCTTCGAACTTGGGATGCTCCTGCCTCAGCCTCCTAAGCAGAGGGGATTACAGGTGTGCACCACCACGCCGGCTTCAAGTGCTCATTTGCTGGGTGTGCTCTTGGGCAAGATCCTTAAAACCTCACTACACCTCGGGATTCCCAGCTGAAGTATGGGCCCGTATTACCCTGGCTACTTTGTCTTCCCCACAGGACAGACCGATGGAGGGAACAGAGGCCGAAGCTTTGTGCAAACCACTAGATGACAAGGTGCACGAAGACTTTTGCACCTAGAACAGTCGACACGAAGGCCTCCAGTCAACGGCTGCTGAACAAGTGAAACCACCCTGGCCTGTCCAGTGTCGGGGAGTGCTCTGGCCAAGCGCGGGGCTGACCCCCCCAGACACTGATGCATTTAATTCTCCTGGAAATCCGCAGGGAAGTAGTGGCTACTGTCCCCATGGTCCAGAGAAGGAAACTGAGGCCCAGCGAACAGTAGGGAACTGTGATGAGTTATAGTAAATGTCTCAGCTGGAATCCAGGTCCAAGGGACCCCAAAGTTAGGTTTGGCTAAATTAGGGCAGGGAGAGTCAGGGTCCGTCCCAGCGCGCGTCGCCCTCCTGGTGGCCTAAGGAGGCAGCCCGGGGCGCATTCTCTCCCTCTTCCTCCCCAGCCCGCACCGTCTCACCTGGCCCGGGTTCCCGCGGCGCTGCGTGCTCCCTGCGCCGGCTCGGGTCTCCGCGCCAAGCCCGGCGCGGCCAGGGCAGCACCTGGTCCCAGAGGGCGGGACTGGGCGCCGGGACCGCCCCCTGCTCCCTCCGCCCCGCCCCGCGGGAGCACCTGCGCCCTCCAAGGCTGCGCCCCGGCAGGCTCCCGCCAGACCAGCGGGCTCTAGTGGCCTGCGCTTCTGGACGCATAGCTGCGTGCCCAGCTCTGTCCTGCCTGCACAGTCCCGCCCCCCCACCCCCGAACCCCACGAAATGGCTTTTCTTCTCCACCAACCATCTGTTCTCTCCCAATGTCCCTCTTTGTTCAGTCTGTTCTCCCTCCTTCCTTCCTTCGGTTCCTCATCCCACCATTTCCCCATCTCTCCCTCCAGATGTCTACCCAGTTGACTAACCTTTTTGCCCATCCATTCCTCTGTTCGTCTTTCCATCTGTCTTTGCACCTGTCCAAGCTTCCACCCATTCACAAATCCATCTTGTCTTTAGTCCACCTTCCCCCTACCAATCTTCCATTCATCCACTCATCCTTCCGTCCAACCCTCCGTCTACCCATCCACCCACCTATCCAGCCAACCTTCCATCCATCCAATTCATTCCACATCTTTTTCTTTCCGCCCATACATCTACACTTCCTTTCTTGCATTCTTCTACCCATCTCTGTGTTCATCCATTTACTAATTCCATTGTTTCACTTTAAAAATATATTTGTAGATGGGCACAATACCTTTATTTTGTTTATTTATTTTTGTGTGGTGCTGAGGATCAAACTCAGTGCTCTACATGTACTAGGCAAGCGCTCTGCACTGAGCTACATCCCGGGCTGCTCCCCCATTATTTCACTTTTAATGGTTATTTCCTTAGTGCTGCCCTTTGCCCTGCATGGGGGACCCAGATGGTTCCATCATCCCGGGAAAATTCATATTTCAGTGGTAGCAGCAGAGGGGCAGGCATGTACTGAGTTCACAGCGTCAGGGGCTCTGGTCACTTTGGTCTGAAGAATGTGATTGAAAAATCTCCACCATATGAACCTGCTCCATGGGTACAGGTGTGGGAAGAGTAAAGCAAAGCCTCAGCTCACTCAATCTACCTGCCAGATGGTAAGGTGTCTGCCTTAGTCCTGGTAACTCTGTTTTAGTACAATTTTAGGAAGCAAACTCAGCAAGGAGCTGAGTGTGTGTTGGGTACGGGCCACGGGGTATTTAAATCTTGACTTTGCCACTTTTTTTGTGTCTTTGGACAGCTACGACGCTTAATTTCCTTGTTCATACCCTGGAGATGGCATGCGTTTCATAGATGTGACCTTGTGAGCCTGTGGCTTATGTGGTAGAGAACACCAGTACCAGTGCCTGTCCAGTTGATGGTCTACCAATGGCAACTGTTATCCTCTCCGAGAGACTGGGAAGCAAACCCGGTTTCTCTGCTTATCCACTTCCCAAGCCTGTTTCTGGTGCACGCTTCCAAGTATAAAGACCAGCCTCTTCCTTTCTCACCAGAAGGACCAGAGAATTCATCTTCTCCCATCACAGCTGCCGGTGTTGCCTTGCAAAGGGAAGCATTGCTAACACCACAGTTGTTGTGTGGTTGAATTGTGTCCCCTGCAAAATTCATATGCTCAAATCCTAACCCTAGCACCTCAGAATGTGGAAATAGAGTCGCTGCAGATGTAATTCATTAAGATGAGGTCGTGTAGGGAGGTGTAGGTGTAGGGAGCCTCCTGTTCAATAGGATTGGTGTCCTAATGAGAGGGAAAAATGGGCATGGACATGCACACGGGGGGAGCCTCCTGTGAAGCCTAGAGTTCAGTGACCATGAGCCAGAACCATTAGAAGTGAGAAGCTAGAGGAATCCTTCCTCCTGCCTTCAGGGCTCTGCTATTACCTTGATCTTGGACTGGAGGCAATACATTTCTGTTGTTTGAGCCATTCTGTTTGTGGTCCTCTGTGAGGACAGTTCTAGCAAACTAACGCAGCCACTGTCAGCCTGCATTTGTAAAGATGCCCCAGAATGGCAGCTAAGACTGACCAGACTGAGATTCACTGCAGTAGGGGCTGTGGTCATCACTGTCTTGCTGGGCACAGCACAGAGCCTAGCCAAAGCAGTAGCTTGTCAAGACTTGGTAAACTGAGTGTTTTTAAATAACTTGACACATTTTTATGCATGCGCACCCATATATCACCTCCCAAAGGCTCCATTTCTAAACACCACAGTGGGTTAAGTTTCTACTCTCTTAATACCTCACAATGGGGATCAAATTTCAACACACAAACCCCTAGGGGACACACTCAGGCCATATCTAAACCATGAGTATCCCAGTCATATCCCAAAAATGTCATTACTACCCAGATCAAGATTCAGAACATTTCCAGCACCCCAGATGTTCCTTCTGTGGCCCCCGCAGGGTAAGCACTCATATGACTTGTATCCCCAACCATTGGTTTTGCCTCTTCTTTAACTTCCAGAAAATGGAATGATACACTAGACTCTTTTTACATCTGGTTTCTTCTTCCTGGCGTTGAGACTAGTGTTTCCTGCTAAACACAGCTATAATCCATGCTCTTTCTGTTGATACACATGCACACAAATATGCCACAATTTATTTGCTAATTCTACCACTGATGGACATTTGGGTCATTTCTAATTTGAGGATTTTAAAAAATATTTATTTAGTTGTAGATGAAAACACAGTATCTTTATTTACTTTTATGTGGTGTGAGGATTGAATCTAGTGCCTCACACGTCCAAGGCAAGCAGTTTACATCTGAGCTACAGCCCAGGCCCCCAATTTGGGGATCTTATAAAAAAGCTACTCTCAACATTCTTGCATATGTCTTTTGTTAAACATATGTCTTAATTTCTCGGAGCAGAATTACTGGGTCATAGAGTAAGCATGTGTTTTACTTTAGTCGAAATTGCCAAATAGTTTTCTAAAGGGGCTGAACCAATTTACACTGCCCCACCCCCACCCCAGTAATACATGAGAATCCCACTTCCTCCACATCTCGATGTTGTCTTCTTTGGGGTTTCAGCCATTCTATTGGGTGTGTAATGGCATCTCACTGTGGTTTTAATTTTCATTGCCATAACAGGTAAGATTGACGAACGTCTTTGCATATACCTGTGGTCCATTGGTGCTTGTTTGAGTCTTTTGTCTATTTTAAAATATTAGGCCATTTATCTTCTTCTTATTGAATTGAGTTTCTTTATATGTCCTGGATAGGAGTCTTTTAAT